AAAATATTGAAGAAACAAATACGACGAATAAAAAAGGAAAGTCAGTAGGTGGTTCTTAGAAAATAGGTACCAGCAGTCAAAATTGTTTGTTTCACAAGAAAATAATGCGAAACGTGACCGAATCCATTTACCGAATTTACAAATAATAATACTTGCGATGTTTTACGATTTACAAAACGCAACACGATAGTTACGAGATATGTAATTTAATATCGAGAGTATTTACTTCTTCTTCCCTTTCACGTCATCTAAAATATATTTATGTTTCATTCTAATGGAATAAGGAGTTTTATTTATTTTCACTAGGAGGAGACGACATTTCTATTTTTCTTTCCTTCATCTTTTTCTTTTTCTTCGAGCGGTTTCAACCCCCTTCCTAGTAAAGTCTGTTAATGGTGGACGAAGTCTTGACGATCGTCTCTTTCGAGCCGAGTTCTCTTCACCCTCGAACGCCATGGCAACCGTGTATATGGTTCCCCATATTGTATTCCAGACGAGCTTCCGTCTAGACGCACCATCACTAACGAGAGAGTCCAGTTTTATCGAAAGAGATTGAGCCACAAGTACGAGCGACTTTAACACTGTCGCCACGTACGTAAATCTGTGGATCGCGAGCGCGAGCGTGCGCGCGCGTACGTGATAGGAATTTAACGAAGGGAGGAGGGAGAATGATCGAAACGCTTAACGGACTAATGTAAGATCGACGAATTTGTCCATTTATATTATTTTTTTTTTTTTTTCACAGTCTACTACCTTTTTTTTTATACTCTTCGATATTTTATTATAACCCCGCGAATTTCATTAATTTTGTTTTGTCTTATTACAAAAAAAGAAATGAGTTCCAAATTTCTATAATTAAAATGTAGGTACCCTTTTAATTAACTTAAAAAGAGAAACAGGAGTTTATGCATAGGAAGAGATGGAAGGAAAAAGAGAATGAGGAAGAAGGAAGAAATAAAACAAAGACAATAAAAGAGAAGCCAAGAATGGCTGTACCCTCGTATTATAATGGCATAATATAACGCATTCGAGTGTGATGTATGGCGCAATTGGTTGCTCGATGAGGGAGCCAGTAAAGGGAGGAGAAAAACTGGCCCTCTTCGATCCCCCAAATAATTAATCGATGCATGTTCGAGCCTCTGCAGGGTTCGACAAGTAATGATAGGGCTCTGGACTCATTCATGCATGTATATGCATCTCTCTCTTTCTCTCTCTCTCTCTATATATATATATATATATCGCTTTCGATATATGTTGGATAAGAAAAACGACTTATACGTAAAAAATAAATACTTTGATAAAAAATGGTAGAACGGATATGAGTATGTTTAGTGAATTTTTTCCTGCTCTCTAAATTAACATTTTTATTTATGTTCTTTACATCGTAAAGAAATTAGTTAAGATTCCGCCATTAAGTATTTTTTGGGTTTTTTCGCATCCTTAAAATCTGTTTTAATCGTGGAATGTTGGGATGAAGTATCTTCTCTGGAACGTCCTTTGCTAAGGAATAAGTAAAAAATTCATAAAATAACCTAAAAATAGCAGGATTGAAGCAGCATCTTCGAATGGTTATGTATCGGAGTCGATCGTTCCGATGTATTTAATATTCTCTTGGCAATCCGCGTGAGGTATTTCGATAATTCGACGAAGACGTGTCGCCGATCGTGATCAGTGAGCGAATTCGCGAAACGAGGCAAGCAGTATCAAACCTATCTCTCATGAACCATTGATGTCGTCAAATCCTTCAACATTTGCACAAGTACGTTATTCGTCAGTAAAGGATTTCAAAGACGTTGAATATTTTCAATTTTCACTCGACAAAATCAGTTATATAAAATAATCATCAATGTAATAAATAAATTAACAATGTTGCAATATTTAAATTCATTTTTTTATTCTCGTCCCCGATAAAGCAACGGAACGTCGATTGATTATTTTCTAATCTTAAAAAATAAAAAATAAAATAAATATAAGAAGAAAAAAACGATGTAGTAAGCAGACTAAAAAACTGAAAAGTTCGAGAGAAAAACTACCGTAGAAGGAATTTGTTTCTTCGGCATTCGACGAATTCTCCGATCCCGAAGCGCGTGTTCGAGTTCGGGAGGATAATTAATCGCGAAAACGAAGAAAAGAGAATACTCTCGAATGCTTTTCCTTCCTTAAAAGGTTATCGACCCTGGCTAGCAGCAGCCTCGCGGGGGTCGAAATGTATGCGTATAGGTTTTGCTATCGGTAACCAAGAACGTCAAATGGAATTGCGTCAAGATAGAAACAGACATAGATGAAGAAAAAAAGATATCCTTTTCTCTCATGAATCTCCAGGTAGTAGTAGGGAATATGTTTTTACCGTTTTGTGTTCGAACGTTCTCTTTCTCTTTCCTTCTACCTCTTTCCTTTTATTCGTTTCTCTCTAACTATGCTTCTCTTTCTCTCTCTCTTTTTCTCTTTCGATCTATCACGTGAATGGAATGGTTGTAACCTCACGGAGAGGTTACAAACGCACTGACCCATGCGTGTCACCGTTATTTCCATTGATTTTTCTTCCCTCGAAAATCCCTTCTTCGGACGGGCAAATGAAAGAGATAAAGAGAGAGAGAATGAGTTAAAGAGAAAAAGAGAGAGAGAAAGAGAGAGAAAGCCGATAACTCCCATAAGAACTCAGCACGTACACGCTCACAACGACCGTGAGCCGGCTGAAAATGGATTCGAACGATGTATACGATGGTTATTGGTTTACGATGCCACGGATACGTCATTATCTTATGTGTTACATGGGAAGCATCGGTCAGAGACTTTCCATAGAATGGAATCCTACCATTCGCGGATCTGCATGATGGATGCTACTCTTTCTCTCTTTCTCTTTTCTACCCAGCTCTATCAATCGAGTCAGCCAATAAGTTATTCTTTTTCCTCCTCTCACAAATTCAAAATTAATTTTGCCTGTCAAGGAAGCCCGTTAGATACATACAATGGAACGTTACTTTGTGCTCTTTAACAATATTTCTACCAAACATGTCAAAATACAACTTATACATTTTTAATTTTAATTTGTTTTCAAGAATTGATTCGTTGGCTTTTTCTTTCTTTTTTTATAACATTGTTAAAATTATTTAGCGATATCTTCTTTCCTCATCTGCTAGATATAAAATACGCATTTTTTGGTCGAAATGAATGTGCATAAAAATGCGATAAAAAAAAGTATTAAACTCACTAATTGTGGATATAATATACATGGATACTATACCTATCAAGAATCAATTAAATTTATAACCGATCATTAAGCTCAAAACTTTTGTAACAATAATGAGATCAAAGTTCTTTACTAATTTTTAATTTATCCTTCTCCGATGAGAATTTTCATCAAATTGTCTGACGTAAGAAAAAAAGAACATCGAGGAAAGCGTATGAATAACAAGGTAGAGATGAATTTCGAACTATCAAAAACGTTTTTCCAACGATATTATCAAAATATACTAGGTAGACTCTCTCGATGACATTTTATCGTATATCAAGGGGTTGTGTCTGATTTAGGGAGCTTCAAATCGATTTGACATTCTAACTTCTGCTACCCTTTTTCCAAACGACCATATAAACATCCATTTCGTTTCAGAAATAAGGTTGGATACTGGGTTTATCGTTATATCATATTCCAATTTTTACCTTCCATCATGTCACCATAAATTGGATCTTTATACGCTCTACTAGCTACCACTTCCTAATCTGTGATAGGAATGAGATAAATATCCACGTTACTCGATAGAGGAGTAAAATCATTTTCCATCAGACGTCTGATGTAACATTTATTTGCTAATTTTTTATTATTTACATTGCAATCGAGAGACATTGGATAATTTTTCTTTGTTGGTTGTTTTGTTTTTCGAGAAGAATTAAGCAATTGCATAGAGGAATAAAATTAACATTGATTGAGATATAACTTAAGGAAATATTTTTTTTGCAACAGATTATGTCTCTTTTCAGATCACGTATCTCATGTGTATATTCCTAGATTTGTTTTGTTCCTTTACCACGACTTCAGATACCGTTAAATTCAGCACGTTTTGCTCATCGGGAACGAAAGGTCTAGTAATTTTAATAATAAGAAACGAGACGTAGGTAGTTCTACTCTCAACGAGTTATTTACAGATTAGTTTATGAAGGAAAGGAATATTTTAATATACCGAAGTGTCGTCGACGTCTAAGTATCCTATTTATCATGTTATAGCGGTTCACTAGATGTTGAGAAAGTGATCTCGTCTTGGAAGATGTACTCTGTTAATTACATGCACTTGGATATATTTTACTGCTTATTTTAATGGTAAGAATATGTTTCTGACGTAAATTCCTTGAAGATTAATGTTCTTTTCATTCTCCCTCTTCTTAGAATCGCTCCCCATTATTGAAGGTCAGCAATGAGCCTACTAAATTCTCTCTTCTTCAATCTCAATTTGAATAATCTTTCAACTTTTCTAATGCTGATACAAGAACATTTTTCTTCTATTCAATTCTACCTTTTTTACAAATTATATCCATCATTATATATTATGTAATAGTTAATAATATTCATATCTTATAAGTTTAAATAAAATAAAAAGGTTAATAAAATTGAAATAAAAAAAAAAAAAATCAATTTTCACGTTAAACAGGACAATTAGATTTGAAATACAGTATCATATAGTAAGTTTTTTTTCTTTTTTTTTTTTCTAGATTTTGTAATACAGTAAAAAAGCATTAGAGCTCTAGTCGGCCAAGGTATTCCCATCGACCGTGGGCTTTTCTCTTGACCGACTCTTTCCTAATTCACCTAGCGAACTGCAAAGAGCTCACGAAGCTCAACTCGTCGCCGAGATCGGCACGGTCGGGCAATCTAAATGAGTGCAGACAACGTGCGAGTTGTCATGCGGACTCCGTGGGTCCGTCCGTGCCTTCACGCGTGACTGCCCCGACTGACTCCACTTCTCTCCTCTCTTATTCACTATCACGCTCGCGAAACGATTCTTCTTCCACGGACATACGACGAGCTCGCGTTTGCGCTCGCGCGCACTTCTCATGAGAACGGCTTTTGTACGCTTCTCTCAATTCTACTGACGCCAGCCACGCCGTGGACTTACTGATCGTGGAGTGTGAGAGAAGAAGGAAGGAGGTCGAAGACATAGCAACAAAAATTTTACTTATTCTCTTTACCCTCAGGGTTATCCAAGAATACCTGCTGACTGGGATAACAAGTCTCGTGCGATATAAGTACTTATATACTTGGATACGTGTGTGTATAATATTTATTATATTATACTTATTTATTACAGGGTGTATCCTGACAAGTGGTACAACCGAGCTAAGGATGATCCTACGTTTAAGTAAATAATATTTGTTCGTTTGATTCGCAACAAAATAATAATAGAGTCATCAGTTTTTCATAACACTTAATATTAAAATCAACAAAATTAACATGCTATTCACCAATTTCAACGTCAACGACAATTTCAGAGTTAATGTATGACCAGGTATACTTGTTAAAATTTTAATCGTTTAATCTTGTTTTTCTTGATGAGAGGTTAAAAGGTCAATTTTACGTAGATTTCTTCAGAAACCAGTTGCTTGTACCAGAATATGGTACGAATAATGCCGTTCCTGTCACAGAACTCGTGTGTCCTGCATTCTTTACTGCTGCTAATCTTCATCTTCAAGTAGCTTTAACTAGAAAACAAAGTTAAAATGAGACATACGTTTATGTGATTTTGTGCACTTTTTCAACGTATGTATCTATGAACATAATAGAATTATAAGTGTTAATTTATCAGTCTTAATAAATTAGTTAATAGAACATATTACTTAGTTAGAAACAAATTGTTCGTATTAATATTTACACGTTATTCGAAGAATTTGATGATTATCGATTTTCTTCAACTTCAGGTACGTCATTGTTTTATTTGATTTGAAAGAAAAGAAAAATACGTGAGAAAAGTTTTTGCTGAAAGCAGTTTACATGCAAGCGCACGAAGGGATCCTTTCTTGGAACGTCTACCTTTCGATATTGTGCAGCAGACAGCGATGTCTAGTAGGTGTGAACATTTACGATAAGGAATGCCGTGTAAACCGTAACAGAAATGGCAATTCGAATTGGCAGGATTCATCGAACGATTCAATTAAAAGAGTCCAATGAGAAGTAAATATCTAAAGAGAATGGCCATCGATACGGATGAAGTCGATTTAAAGCAACGATAAGTATAGTTTTGCTATTCATGGTTAATGTACAATGACAGGATTGCAGGATTCGAATCGATAGTATGGTGCATTTGATGCGGTAGCGATTGAAGGCGTGGCAGATCGCGTTGTAGGTTAGCGATTTCCGGGCGATGCATTACGACGAAGTGTGCGTCTTGGAAATTGAGATACGAGGTGTTTGTGATGCCGCTGCCCGTGTCCAAGGCTACGTGTATCTTGTATATGTATGTGTATGTGTGAGTATGTCTCGTGAGAATTGCAAAGCAAATGGCGACGAATGTCATGGTGTATGCGCTTGTGTTTACGTATATGCATGAGATATTGGAAGGACAAAAAACAAGCGTGAAATGAAGGACCAAGAAGTTCAATTATACCCAATTCTGTTTTTACGCGAACATTTTTTTTTTTTTATGTGCAATTTTGATTTAACACAATCGACCCAAATTCTAAGAAGAAAATTTTTAAAACTCATGTCTTATTGTATTACTTTTGCTGATTTCTTAGGACTGGAACCAATCTTTTTTTTTTATACATAGTCTTCGTAAACGTATTTATCGTGTAAAAACAGAATTATGTGTACTTTTTAGAATCGTAGTGTCAAAATAATAAAAGCTATTGTATAAAAATATATGCAGCGAATAACACTAATATTTCTATTTTGCAGTATTATAATTTTATACATAATGAAAGAAAAAAAAAACATATATGGTTTTGTATGAATTTAGGATGACGCGATCCAAACATTATCGGACAGAGTTTACGTCAGTGTTTTTATTGAATTGACAGAATCCGGATATGCATCGGTGACGTCTGTCAAAGCGCCAGTAAAAAACGGCGATTAATGATGCTCATATAATCACTGTGGCCTCTCTCGATCTTGCACAGAGGGTTACAAGCATGACTCACAACAATCGACTCATCGTATAGATTCGTGGATCTAATTGTAAGTGGGATTACGAAACGCGTCTTAAGAAATATTTCCTCTGCATTCAAGAGATGTAGCTCGTTTTTATAATTTACCGTTGTCTCGTCAATTCCGTTTTTACTATAATCTGACGATAATTCCAATAGAAAAGAAAAAATAAAAAGAAAAAAAATCAAAAGGAATTTATCCACAATTTTTACAGAAGATTACAAAATAAGAATAAAAAAAAAAGTATCTAGCGCCAACAACAACAAAAAAGAAAATAATATCGTTATCTTTGAAACACACAATATCTGTAGACAGCTTGAAAATAAATTATCGATATCGATATTTTTGCATTTTCTTACCACTCATCTTTCGTCTTGGAGACAATTATTTTCTAAACCGAATGTCGAGGTCAGTATAGAATAGAACTAAGGAGGATAGGGATTCCCTGGCCTTTGACGCTTGATTCACTGGGGTATTGTCTCTGGACAATACGCATACAATGGCTCAAAGCGATCTGAATCTAATATATGACTTATGATAGTTTCTGTTGCATCTTGAATAAACAATGTGCCGTTTCAAATTTTTCTTTCTCTCGATTAATATTCGACCAAAATATATTCAAATAAGCTCAACTAGCACATCGTTGTTGCAACAAATATTGTCTAAATTATCGTTTGTTTTTTTTATAACGATAGAATTTTCTGTTGCTTATTGATATTAAACATAATACGATACAAAGTAGATAGACAGATACTTATGTTAGATTAAAGAAACATGTTGTTAATCTCTTTTGAACACATGTTCGTTCATTATCGTTCAAATCCTAAAACAGTAACAGAATAACACTGTTTACATTCAATTCACTATTACTCTTACACAGAGTCAATCGTTCATTCCGGTTTAACACCAACACTTTCTTCTGTAACATTTTAGATAAGGAAAAGAAATGAAATTAATCGATAGAAAATCGAATATATCGATAAAAGATCTCATGTAGTTCTTTCTGTGATTTTTAGGAGAAAAAAAAAAGACACAAAAAGTATTACGTATAGTATCCAGCAAAAGATTCGATCTCCTTACACAGAGATGATGAGATGGACTCTGCTGGATAACTTCCTACATAGATAAGAATCTGCACGGATCCGTAGCCTCTTTAAACGATAAGGTCGTTGGTTCTATTCACGCTATTATACGATTCCTTGAATTCAAGCAGGACGTTTATCGATGCTCTGCTCATCTTTCCAACAATCCATTGCTAACACGGAGAACAAGCTACCCCTACTGAGTCAAATGTGTGTGTATTCAAATACAAAGTATATGGTTACTTACATAAAAATATATTTTTACACTCTTAATCTAAGTACACCTTACTTAGATTAATGGTGTATTAATCTAAGTAAGAAATTCACGAAGAATCATTTTTTAAGTGCAACGAGAAAAAAGCTATGCAAAATAACAATATAAGAAATATAATTGGTCTGAGCTACGACACATATAATCCTGCTTCAACTTGCATAGTCATATCAATTCAAGTACTTATATCGTACATAGACAAGCTCACTGATTGTAAGAGCAAATTTGTGATAGTACGTGTTTAGTAGATGGTAATCTCTGGCCTTTTGTGAGATTCGAAACTCGACAACGAGTTAAATCGTCCTTGTTGGACAGCTCGACATTAACGCCACTTCGATTTACACTTATTGCTGCTTGGTTGCATCTGCTACGATGTCAAGAGCCTCGCATTTATATAAAACGCTGTTTTTATTCTTTAACTCGCGTAGGTGTTTGAGTCGCTTTTAATGCGGATACCTTTTCTGATCGATTGGGTGAAGTTCCGCTTAAACTTTCATCGACCTTTGACCCTCTATCAGAATCGCTAGCTTTTTTAGGTTTATCGTGCGAATTCTACGAAAGTGTTTCCGAAAACAATTCATTTGCGTAAATATACAATACATTGCTTCAAGATCGTTTTTAATTTTGTTTCTTGTTCCTTTGAGATATTGTTGGAGTTATTTTATAAACGAATAATAATGCCTTGAATTATCTATTTAGAATACTTTTGTCTTAACTTTTGAATGAAATTAAAAGAAACATTTTACGGTAACAGGAATAATAAGGAGATAGAAGATTTAAAAGAAACAATGATAAATAGTATGAGATTAATTTTTTCTTTAGACATGATTCTGAGACTGGTTGCAATTATTTTTGGCTAATTATAAGCTAAGCAACCATTAAGTAACATTTACCTTTTATTTAACAATAAGTAAATTTATTTAAGCTAAGTGTATACTCTTTACTACTTTGTTATTTTATATTTCAAGTAGTTTCACCAAATATTTTCTTTACTACGATATATTTTAAAACACCATCTCCGATATATAAATCTGGTTATCTGCATAATAAAGCATATTTTGTAGAAGTCTACTCTTTTAATTTTTTTTCTCATCGTATTTACTAGTCTATCGTTTTCTTTTAACGATTTCGGTATAAAATTTTTAACAACTAAAAAGAAAATATATAAATATTAATTAATTCTAAGAAAATTATTAAATATCTATTACCTGTTTAGAAAGTACCATTTGAACTGACTGTCTCCCAATATCCTTGAAGGATATTCCCGTAACACAACCGCAACGATAAAAAATCTTAGCAGAAATATCTAACCTTCAGACTTTTCTATCAAAATGAATAAAAATTTAAATTCAAAAAATCGAACTTTCATTTAATCAGTATATCGAGGCAATAAGCAAAAAAAAAACAAGTCAGATAATTAGTGTAGTTTTATTTGAGTGTATAAAAATATAATAGGTACGATTATCGTATTTACGTTTTTTTTTTTACGATTAGCGATTTATCGCTTTTTTGGCTCGTATTTCTTGATTTATTTGATGTTTCGAACGCGTACCGTTCGAATTCGTTCCCCGAAGAGAGTTCGCAAGTCGGTGTGTAAGTCGATGAAGGGAGAACGCGATTACCGCATTCGCGTTACACGTCTCTTGCATTTCGTAACCCCATGACGAGACGAGAAGGCTCTTAAGAATACGAAAAGACTGTCTGAGTGACCGCTGTTCTCTCCATTCGAGATATACCTGCCTTCGGGTTACTAACCTGCCCGATCGATCGTCGTAAAATCCATTCAGAGGAATTGTCTCCAAAAATATCTCTCTTCGTACTTTCGACGAATTTAATTCAAAGTGCTCGGTCATCCAATAAATTTTACGTGAATTGGTGTATTCGTTCTTTTTTTGGATACGTCGAACTTACGTAAATGCATCAAGAATAAGAATAAGTTAACGATAGCTATGAATCGTAGATAATAATCTATGTATTTGTATCTACATATTATCTTATATAATTTCACTCTGATGATTATTTAATAGAAAAATAAATTTCATTAAAAATATATAATAGGAAGCAAAAAATATAAATATATCGTATTTTTGTAACTGATTAATTTGTTTAACATCTTAGAAATATTTAAGGAGGTATTTCAAATGAAACGTTAAAGAACTCTGAAAATATTTCCAATAGAAAATGTAATATTTCCGAGCAATAAAACGCTTGGTCTCGGAATGGAAGAAAAAAACATTGTCGTGAAAGCGATGGAAGGTACGTAATTTGAAGAGAATGATAAAAAGAAATAAAAGAGAACTGAAAAAAGGATAAAACGATCGGAAATATCAAAGTCTCGACGGAAACGTCGAGATACTACTTCATCCCTCTTCCGACGAGGTATCTGGCCCTTGGCCAAGCCGAAACGCTTACTTGGCTTGTCGGCTGGGATACATCTTCTACCCGAGTCTACAATGCGGTACGAACCGCTGTACGTGCAACGACCTCATGATCTTGAACTTGTCGGTATTTTGACATAGCCGTTGCAGACGTCATCGTAGTCTTAGCCATCGTACTTGGTCTTCAAAATGGTAAACGACGTAAGAAGAAATAAAAGGATTTTGCGATGATTCCTAAGGGAAAGATAATGATTGAGAAAACAGAAAAAGAAGGGAAAGATCAATATTAAAGGATACATTTAATTTTAATCGCTATTCGGAAATCGTACATGAGTTATTTAATACGATACCAAAAGCATATAATTGTGTCAATTTATTTTATAAACAAATATAATTTTAATATTAAATAAATCATAAAATTCATTTTTTTTTTCAACTTGTTGACCTAGTTGTCATAATTAATTATGTTCGTTTTTATCTGTATCAGAAGATCTTGTTGCGAAGAGATTCATTTAAATGGTACTTACGTAGCTCGAGTGACTAACTCAAGTTGATAGCAAGTTGAAAGCAAGCTGAACGAAGATGAAAAAACGAGGAAAGGACGCTCTCTAAATCTAAAAACTAACAGCGAAAAGTTAGATTTTACATTCATCGGGCAACGTAATCCTTTATGGTCGCCACATACGCCGACTGTTTTCTCTTTTCTCTCGTTTCCATGCGTTGTCTTTATACTCCTGCCCGACGAGTGCAGCTTCTCGCGAATGCGATTACGTGCCTCTTAGGATGTCTCGTCTAGAAACGTTATGCCGCGCCGGAGCAACTCGTTCCGCGTGCGCCTTCTTTCAACTTTTTTCTAATCTCATCAACGACGACCTTGAATGGAGATGTCTGATGAATGAACTTATTCCACGTATTCTGTAAGAAACA